AGACATGGAGGTGGAGATAGATGAAGATCAACAGAATAAGATATTTAGATTAGTTCACGAGAGTGTTAGTATGAGAGACGTTGAGTCAACTATAAATGTCTGACGCGATGGCATATTACACCGAGCACTGAGCACAGGATGAGGGGGGAGAAGTCAAAAATGTGTTGGAGAGGATGTGGGGAGGAGGGCACGGTGTTTTTCATATTTGGTGGCAATGTCCAAAAATTCAGGATTTCTGGAAGACAATAGTCAATTTAATAGAAATAATAACTGGAAATAACATAGGATTAGACCCAAACATGTGTCTCCTACATAATGTTGAGACAGCAGTAAATAGATACAAAGAATCAGGAGTATGGTACTACTTAAGTGCTGCAAAAGGGTTGATCCCCAAGTTTTGGTGGAAGACAGAGGTGCCGACGGAGGAGGATTGGATCAATAGGGTAAACCAGATCAGTAGAATGGAAAAATCTTATTATACTCAGGAAGACAGGTTGAAATTATACTACTCGCGATGGGAAAAATGGGAAAAATGGGAAAAATCAGGACTAAAAGAGAAATATAGAAAACTCTAAACTAGGAAAGTTATTTAAAGTTATCGGGCCTTGAGAGATTGGAGATCTTGCAGAGGGGAGGGAGGGGGGGAAGGGGGGAAAAGGTGGGTTGGGAGGGAAGGGAAAGAAAAGAGGTAAATAGGAAGGACAAAGTAGAAATGTATGGATTATTTATATGTATTGTGTTTCTTCTTATGGAATTTTTGTAATAACATGAAAAAAATTAATAAATATTTAAATTTAAAAAAAAAAAAAAAAAATGGTGAACATGTTTGTCAAGCTCTAATGTAAACTATTTGTACAAAAGAGGCCTGTTTGCCCAAGTCCTATTCGAAAGAAAAAGAATATTGCAATTCTTTTCTCTCAAACCATCAAATTGATTAACACCCTTCATTGGCTACTTTGATTTTCAGACATCCTTTTGGTAACCCGAGCAAAGATTGAAAAGCACCTCACAGTCTTGTTCAGAGCGGTCACTGGCGAGACTACAACACAGATGGCGTATTTTTGTTTTCACCTCTTTTCAAAACGTAATGCTCTGGCAAGTTTCCTTTGGTTCCAAAAGCCTGGTTTCTCAGTGCGGACAATGTTTTCTTGGTCTTTCGAACATAGAAAACCCCCGCATCTTTCTTTGAGTTCCATGAGCGTTGTTTCCATCTGGCATTTCTTCCTAAGGCGGGAGCTAAAGAAGAAACATTGGCAGGTGACTGCCTCTCGCCCTATCAGTAATCCAGCCAATTCTTTTTTTCTTCTTACAAACAATAATCGTGTCAATTGGTTTTGAACTTTTCCATCGAAGCAATTGGTAGAAAAAGGCAAGCCTCGTTGATAGTTTGGAGTAAAGCACAAGCTTGGAAACTCAGCTGTCTTGCAAACAAAAGAAGACTCTAAGTCTTCCTACAAAGCACTGAAGGAACCACTCTGAATGAGCTCTCTTCTGCCATCTTCCCATCTAGAAAGATGACCAAGTCATCCAATGGTGACAGCAACTGCATAGAGCAGCACTACAACAGGAGTCCTAATGAGAGGAGAGCCCTACAAATCATCATCATCATGGACAGGGAGTTTGGGCACTTTCGAGCACATTTCTCCCATCGGCTCCTACAGAAAAGATCCCTGAAAGTATCATCTTGCCAGGACACGTCAAAGATTTCGGCAACACCTTAGGTTCTATTCCTTCAACAAATGGTGAACATGTTTGTCAAGCTCATTCGCTGCGAATTTAACTTATAAAAAGGGTGTTTCTAGGCTTCAGAGAGCCTTTATATTAGTGCAGAACACTGTACCTTTAATTTAAATGCCCTTTGAGTCTGCTGGGGAAGAGAAATAATACTGTCAGTCAGTATGACATGCAGATGAGTGCCTTCGATCTTAGAATCACCGCACACTTCACTCATTTGGGCAGTCACGGGGCCAAAACCAGAGTGTGGAGCCACAGTGTGGCGGTGGAGGCAGCAGCAATGGGAGGCCATACAGCACCCTATGAAAAAATGGAACCCACCAGCAGTGTGAGGAGACCTGAAAGTGGCACATGGCAGAGTGTGGCGATGGAGACAGCAGCAATGGGAGGCCGTACAGGGACCCATGACACACATGGTACGGGGGCCCATGGCAGATTACGGGCCTGGCAGCAGCAAATGGGAGGCCCGTAATCTGCCAGCACCCTATGACAAAATGGAACCCACCAGCAGTGTGAGGAGACCTGAAAGTGGCACATGGCACATGGCAGAGTGTGGCGATGAAGAGCAGCAGCAATGGGAGACCGTACAGGGACCCATGACACACTCTGGATACCTGGCAGCAGCATGAGGAGGCGGTACTTTGGAAACATGGGCCAGACAGATACACGGGCCTGGCAGCAGCAATGAGGAGTCGGTACGGGGGCCCATGGCAGATTACGGGCCTGGCAACTCAGCAGCAATGGGATGCCCGTAATCTGCCAGCACCCTATGACAAAATGGAAAGTCCACCAGCAGTGTGAGGAGACCTGAAGTGGCACATGGCAGAGTGTGGCGATGGAGACAGCAGCAATGGGAGGCCGTACAGGGACCCATGACACACTCTGGACCTGGCAGCAGCATGAGGAGGCGGTACAGGGGCCCTCCATGACAGATTACGGGCCTGGCAGCAGCATGAGGAGTCGGTACGGGGGCCCATGGCAGATTACGGGCCTGGCAGCAGCATTGGAGGCTGTACAGGGACCCATGACACACTCTGGACCTGGCAGCAGCATGAGGAGGTGGGTACAGGGGCCCATGACAGATTACGGGCCTGGCAGCAGCATGAGGAGTCGGTACGGGGGCCCATGGCAGATTACGGGCCTGGCAGATGACGTACAAAGGCAGCCTCATCATCAAATCAATTAGGGTCTCCGCCTCACTACTGTAGGATGCCCCCTCGGCTGTTTGTGGGTCAGGAGACAGACCTGTCTCTAGGGACTGGCTACCGAGCCACTCTCCTCGCAGTACTTCTTCGCCTGGCTGCTGAAGAAGAGGCGGCTGTCTCCCCCCGTTTCCTGACCGCCCTCTGTTAGCTCTTCCTCACTGTACAGTGGGGCTGAGCCCACAGCATGCAATACTTCGCTTGGTGAGGGAACACCAAAGGACAGGGGCAGGTAGAGGACACGTGATTTCAGTGGGCTTACTCCCGGGCCATGCCAACTAACGGTTGTGTCTGACGTACCCACCGACCGTTGGCTGTAGGTAGCTGTCAGAGGTGTCCTTCCTTTGGGAAGAGGAAGACGACCAAGCCAACCAATCGATGACAGCAGGGTTGTCGGTGGAGACACGACCGCTGGATGACACCGGAATTACTAGTGCTGCCTCGACCCCTTCCTCTGCTGCCACGTCTGCTCGCTCTGAAACATTGCCTCCTCTGCCACTCCTCTGCGTGTTGTCTGACATATCTCTTTAATTCAACGATTCTGTGTACCTGAGTAACGATTCTGTGCCCTGAGTAACAATTCTGTGTCCCTGAGTAACAATTCTGTGTCCCTGAGTAACTATTCTGTGTCCCTGAGTAACTTATTCTGTGTCCCTGAGTAAACAATTCTGTGTCCCTCAGTAACAATTCTGTTCCCCTCAGTAACGATTCTGTGTCCCTCAGTAACGATTCTGTGTCCCTCAGTAACGATTCTGTGTCCCTCAGTATCGATTCTGTGCCATGGATCGTAACAATTCTGTGTCCCTCAGTAACGATTCTGTGTCCCTCAGTAACGATTCTGTGTCCCTGAGTAACGTTTCTGTGTTCCTGAGTAACAATTCTGTGTCCCTGAGTAACGATTTTGTGTCCCTGAGTAACGATTCTGTGTCCCTCAGTAACGATTCTGTGTCCCTGAGTAACAATTCTGTGTCTGTCCCTGAGTAACAATTCTGTGTCCCTGAGTAACAATTCTGTGTCCCTGAAGTAACAATTCTGTGTCCCTCAGTAACGATTCTGTGTCCCTCAGTAACAATTCTGTGTCCCTGAGTAACAATTCTGTGTCCCTGAGTAACGATTCTGTGTCCCTGAGTAACAATTCTGTGTCCCCTGAGTAACGATTCTATGTCCCTGAGTAACGATTCTGTGTCCCTCAGTAACAATTCTTTGTCCCGAGTAACAATTCTGTGTCCCTGAGTAACAATTCTGTGTCCCTGAGTAACGATTCTGTGTCCCTCAGTAACAATTATGTGTCCCTGAGTAACAATTTTGTGTCCCTGAGTAACGATTCTGTGTCCCTCAGTAACAATTCTGTGTCCCTGAGTAACAATTCTGTGTCCCTGAGTAACGATTCTGTGTCCCTCAGTAACAATTCTGTGTCCCTGAGTAACAATTCTGTGTCCTGGAGTAACAATTCTGTGTCTGTCCCTGAGTAACAATTCTGTGTCCCTGAGTAACGATTCTGTGTCCCTGAGTAACAATTCAGTGTCCCTAACGATTCTGTGTCCCTCAGTAACAATTCTGTGTCCCTGAGTAACAATTCTGTGTCTGTCCATCTGGGTAACAATCTGTGTCCCTGAGTAACAATTCTGTGATCCTTGGAGTAACAATTCTGTGTCCCTGAGTAACGATTCTGTGTCCCTAAGTAACGATTCTGTGTCCCTAAGTAACGATTCTGTGGCCCTAAAGTCTCTCTGGCCCTAACTCTGTCCCTAATACAGACAGGTCTGTCTCTCTTGAATGACCGGAGGCTAATGGAGAATTGTAAGATGGCCGCATTTATAGCTCCACTATTACACAATGCTGGCTGGAGCTGATTGGCTAATGCTATCATGTCGTGAATGAATGCATTATGGGTCAGCGCGCCTTGTCTGTGCGCCTTCCCAGAGATCCCCGCTCCTCGCCACACATGTCGCCACCATTTTGGGAAAAAAGTCGATTCGTGCATCCGATGTTTGCTAATTTTCGGATTCGGCGTCAATCGAATTTTTCCTGATCTTTGAAACGAATTCCTTCGCCATGTTCGATTCGCTCATCTCTTGTCAGCTCTAATGTAAACTATTTGTACAAATCAAGTAGCAATTCTTAAGAGGCCTGTTTGCCCAAGTCCTATTCGAAAGAAAAAGAATATTGCAATTCTTTTCTCTCAAACCATCAAATTGATTAACACCCTTCATTGGCTACTTTGATTTTCAGACATCCTTTTGGTAACCCGAGCAAAGATTGAAAAGCACCTCACAGTCTTGTTCAGAGCGCTCACTGGCAAGACTACAACACAGATGGCGTATTTTTGTTTTCACCTCTTTTCAAAACGTAATGCTCTGGCAAGTTTCCTTTGGTTCCAAAAGCCTGGTTTCTCAGTGTGGACAATGTTTTCTTGGTCTTTCGAACATAGAAAACCCCTGCATCTTTCTTTGAGTTCCATGAGCGTTGTTTCCATCTGGCATTTCTTCCTAAGGCGGGAGCTAAAGAAGAAACATTGGCAGGTGACTGCCTCTCCCTATCAGTAATCCAGCCAATTCTTTTTTTCTTCTTACAAACAATAATCGTGTCAATTGGTTTGAACTTTTCCATCGAAGCAATTGGTAGAAAAAGGCAAGCCTCGTTGATAGTTTGGAGTAAAGCACAAGCTTGGAAACTCAGCTGTCTTGCAAACAAAAGAAGACTCTAAGTCTTCCTACAAAGCACTGAAGGAACCACTCTGAATGAGCTCTCTCCTGCCATCTTCCCATCTAGAAAGATGACAAAGTCATCCAATGGTGGCAGCAACTGCATAGAGCAGCACTACAACAGGAGTCCTAATGAGAGAGGAGAGCCCTACAAATCATCATCGTGGACACTGAGTTTGGACACTTTCGAGCACATTTCTCCCATCGGCTCCTACAGAAATGATCCCTGAAATTATCTTCTTGCCAGGACACGTCAAAGATTTCGGCAACACCTTAGGTTCTATTCCTTCAACAAATGGTGAACATGTTTGTCAAGTTCTAATGTAAACTATTTGTACAAATCAAGTAGCAATTCTTAAGAGGCCTGTTTGCCCAAGTCCTATTCGAAAGAAAAAGAATATTGCAATTCTTTTCTCTCAAACCATCAAATTGATTAACACCCTTTATTGGCTACTTTTATTTTCAGACATCCTTTGGTAACCCGAGCAAAGATTGAAAAGCACCTCACAGTCTTGTT